GCCACCGTGCCACAATCGAAGACAACCACACATGCCCCCTATCCCCTGCAAGTCAGATGTCTGAAACGCCGGCTGGGGTGTTCAGAATTCGAAGGGTCTCTGCAGCCATGTGAATCCCTGCGGGGGTGTCCGATATCCTGGCGTCGATTGGACCCGTAGGGGCAGGATCCACAAGTGGTCGCAAACAGACGGGACGCTGCATAAGGAACGACAGCTCGTTCCTGGGCGCGGCGAGCCTCGGTCACGAATGCGATTCCCCGACCTAGACTTAGGTCGGGCACGTCCCCCTACAGGAGCATTCGGTACGAAAAACTAAACAAACACGCAAAAGACACTCAACCACAGCAAAACATAGTCGAAGCATTGCCCCTGGCCTATTTTCCACCTATTTTTGCATGCCCCTCCTGTAGAGGGACACGCCCGACGTAAACCTCCACCCGAGGCGCGGCCCGAACGCCGTAGCCCCCGCCGAGCCCGGCGCTGGCCATCGCTCGGACGCCCATTCCCTGTGCTTTTTTTTGTTCGGTTTCGTGCGTGGCTTCTTCGCCAAGTGATCAAGGATGCTCCTCGATGGTCCTCGCCGAAAGAAAAATGCACACGTCCGAGCGATGCCAAGGGCGCGGTCCTTGCCTCCGCGCCCCGGCCTCCGTGCAGGACGCGAGGGCTCCTGGACTTGCCGCGCCTCGCCGTGCGCCCCCCCCCCCCCCCCGCGGGCCCTGGGGCCCTCCGCTGGTGCTGGGCCTGGTGCCCACCACCACCACCACCATAAGTTGGAGGGGGACGAGGTCCTCCTCCTCCTCATCCTCCACCTCCTCCACCTCCTCCTCCTCGTCCTCCTCGTTCTTCTCCTCCTCCTCCACCACCTCCTCCTCCTCTTCCTCGTCCATGTTTTCTTCCTTGTGAACAATTCCTCCTGGTCGCACCCCAGACACGGGGGATGTCATCTGGGCCAGCTCCTCCTCCCGAGCTGCTCTTGTTGATGGGCCTCTTTTCCACCACCACCACCTTCCCCCCTCGAACTTATGGTGCGACCGGGAGGAACTGCTCACAAGGAGTAGAACATGGAGGAGAAGGAGGAGGAGGTGGAGGAGGAGAAAGATGAGAAGGAGGAGGAGGAGGCGGAGGAGAGGAAGGAGGAGCAGGAGGTTGGACGGAGGGAGGCGGCGGGGGCGAGAAGGAGGGCGACGACTGTCCTTCCTGGCGAGAGCGAACGACCGCGCGGCGCCTGTCCGACAGGACTGGCCCTGGGAGGGCAAGGCGCTGGGGGGGCGCAGGGCCCTCAGGACTCGGCCTGGGAGCTGCCGCTGCGGCGGAGATCGGATCGGCACACGCGCGGCTGGTCGCCGGGAGGCCGCGGGCGGAGCCCAAGGCACGCGGCGGAGCCGCCAAGCGGGCGCAGCCCTCGAGAGACCCGCCGCCCAGTCGCGAGGACCATGGCGGCGATCAACACCCCACCCCACGGGTCGCCGCCCGGGTCGCTGGGCGTCGCCGAGCCGATGCCGGCGGGCTCGCCCTGGCAGGCCGCCCGCATTCGGGGTTTCTCGAGCTCTGGCCTCGAGCCAAGTCCGTGGCGGCGATCAAAGCCCGACCCACCCTCGGCGGCACAACGCACCTTGCTGTGCCAGGCAGGGGGAGGCCCAGGCCGCGTCTGGAGTCTCGAATCGCGTGGCCCCTCGCCTCGCGTGGCTGCTCCCGGCGCGTGGCAGGATTTCATCTCCACGCCGCGTGCAGTTCGACTCGGACCGCCCGCCCTCCTCCTCCCTGCTCCTCCTCCTGCTTTTCCTCCTCCTCCAGCGCCTAAGCCAGCAACAACGCCAGCGCCTACAACAGCAGCAGCCGCGCCCACACCATCGTCGCCAGCATCGACGCCCGCGCCGCTGCACTTGACCTCCCTCCAAGGCCATGCCGCCAGAGCGCGCCTCGCGCGAGGAGGTTGAGGAGGAGGAGGAGGAGGAGGAGGAGGAGGAGGAGGAGGAGGAGCAGGAGGAGGAGCAGGAGGAGGAGGAGGAGGAGGAGGGCCCCAAGATGCCGCCCCCAAGAGGCTCCCAAGAGACCCCCGAGAAGCCCCCAGAGGCTCCCCGGAGGCTCCCCAGAGGCAACCAAGACGCCCCAAGAGACCCCCGGGACTGCCAAGATACCCCCAAGATGCCCCCACGATACCTCCCCCTCTCCCTACTCGTCCTCCTCCTGCTCCTCCGATTCCTCCTCCATCCTCCCCCTCTTTGGGCATGACTTTTTCACCCAGCCCTTTATTCCTCTGCAAGCTCCTCCACATCCCTGATCAGGGCAACTCGTCTGGGCATCGTGTCTTGATGGGCTGGTGGGGTTACGCGAAAGTTCTATAGTTGCAACCAATGAGGCATCATAAGGCGCTGAGGTAAGAACGAACAACCACGACTATACTGTGAATTGGGAGCGCCACCAGAGGGTACCATCTTGGAGCACCAATGTAATCATGAGAAGCCGCAACCATTAACACATCATACGGCGCAACTCGTAGAACGCTACTAACGGGGAACCAACTCAAGACTGAGAAATCGCAGCCATGAAGGAATCACAGACATCGCCACAAAGAAATATCCACCCATAGGGCACCATGGCAATATTGAGAATTTGCCGACATTTAAGCATCATTGTGCGCCTGCATAGAGAATCGACCATAGGGCCTCAAGTCAAGACCGAGACACTTAAGGCATCTTAGTAGGTCCTGGGGCACCTGCCATAGTGCATCACTCATATGGCACTAAGGTAAGAAGGATACGCCATAACCATGAAGGCATACGAGCAACACCCATAGGGCACCAAAACAAAAACGATGCATCGCAACCGCTAAAGCATCACACGTCGCCAGCCAAATAAATTCACCCATGCAGTGACAAGACAAGAACAATGCGTCGCAACCATCAACATGTCGCATGGCCTGAACCGGGAAGGACCGTCCACATGCCACCGGGGCAACAACGACACGTCGGAACTATTCAAGCATCATAAGAACCCAGCCGTACAACACCTGCCATAGGGCACCAAGGCAGGAACAAGACAACACCACCACCACTAAGGCGTACTGGGGCACCAGCCATAGGAGAGCCACCCATAGGGCTCCAAAGTAATGCCCAGGCACCGCAACCATTAAAGCATCCTAGGGCTCCCATGGGGCAAAAAGGCAAAAACGAGACATCGCATCATGAGGAGGCATCATCGTGCACCACGCAAGGCATAGTACACCACCCACAGGCATCTAGGCAAGAGGGGAGATTCGCAAACATCAAGGCATCATAGCGCGCCAGCAAAAGAGCACCACCTCTCGCGCACCAGGGCGAGACCGAATCATCGCTACATGTGTTTCCAATCCTTCCCCCGACCGGGTGGAACCCTTCGTGCGAGCACTCTCGGGAGCGTGCACCTCTCCCACCACTCTGCGCCGCGCACCCCGCCGCCCCACTGAGCCATAACAAACTACATGACGAATCCCAGCAGCCCTCTGGGCGTCGGTGGTTTAACGAGTTTCCTCTTCCACCTCCCTCTTCCCCTTCGGGGAAGGGGTTTACCCCTCCCCCTACCCCCTCCCCACTGACCTGGACAGGAGGGGCGGGGAGCGGTCAGAGCGTCCAAAACGGCCTCGGCGAGGAAGCCAAAAACATGAATTTTACTATGGTTTTGGCCCCATTTTGGCCTTCTCAGGGGGCAACGCTAATTAAGGCTCCCCTCTTCTTTGATCGATTTCCTCCACGATGGCCGCAAGAGGCCCCCAGGATGCCCCAAGAGGCCGCAGGATGGCCCCAAGATGGCCCCAAGAGGCCTCCCAAGAGGCCCCCCTGGAGGCCCCCAAGAGACCCCAAGAGGCCCCAAGATGGCCCCAAGAGGCCCCAAGAGGCCCCCAGGAGGCCCCAAAGAGGATCCCGAACGGCCCACAGAGGCCCCCCCGAGGCACCCAAGACGCCGAAAAGCCCCTCAGGACGACCCTCTACTCGCCTGGGCGTCGTTTCTGGACGGGCTGGTGGGGATACTTTTTTTTTTACAGCCGCAGGCGGAAGCGCCAGCGGCAGGCGGTCACGGTCGGGCTGCGGCCGCGACTAGGAGGCGGGCGCGCGCGGGGCCGCGGTCAGGCGGCGGCTGGTGGGGATACGCGAAGCGTCTAGAATTTCGTGTAGTTCCCGACCTGGCTTTTTTCTCGGGTTTGGGGAGGGGTGCTTGGGGATCAGTGGAGTTCCCTCATGGTTCGTGGGCTCCAGGAGACTGCGCACGCCCGTGAACCTCACGAGAAGATCGGAGCAAGCCGTGCACAAGAAGCCGAGGATGAAGATGACCCGATCGCAGACTGCACTGTATAACCATGTTTGGGAGCCCATCTGTGGATCACACCCGTCGGGGATCTACTGATCTGGGTAATCCAGACCGTGGTCAGTCAGGCTTTGCAGGATCCTGCAGGATCCTGCACGCTAGCCCAGGTACATGCACCCCTGGCTCGGCAGGATCCTGCAAGATCCGGCGCTCTGACTGACCCCCGTTTGACTTGACCGCCGTCTCCCGAGCCCCGAACCCGTGTGCCATTTCACCAACCGGTCCTCGGCAAGCCGGTCTCGATGCGCTCCGTCTCCTGCCCGGTGTCCTTCCAGCTGCTGTACTCCGGCTCCGGGCTGCGCCGGCGCACCGTGCGGACGCGGCTCTGGACCTTCGAGGTCGTCACCGAGACGGAGACCGCAGAGGCACCGCAGCCCAGCTGCTCCACGCGAGTGAGAACGGGAACCTGTGGGGCAAACGATAAAGGGGGGCTGCCATAGGGGGGGATGCATCGATCTGGAATCGGCGATACTTCCTGGGCAGATTGGGCCATTCGGGCCCCTATCGGCGATCAATGGGCGATTGGAGGTCGATGCGTCCCCACCTATTCCTATCCCCCCTTTATCGTTGCCCCTGAGAACCGCTCGGGTCTCCACGGTGGCGCTGCAGACCTCCATGCCGAGGGCCTCGTTCCGCAGCAGCACCGAGGCCCACAGCTCTGTCAGGCGCCCCGCGAGCTGTGCCCTCGCCTCGGCCACGGCCTGCTTGTGGGTCAGACCTCTCGGGCGCCGCCGAGCCCAAGGAGGCGCACCTCTGCGCCTCCGCTCCGGGTTGGACATGAATCGAGAGGTGGGCGACAAACCTTCCGACGGAGCTTGCCCCTCCCCCCCCCTCCCCTCCTCCACCACTTCCTCCTCCTCCTCCGCCCATCCCCCCCCTCCCCTCCTCCACCACCCCCTCCTCCTCCTCCTCCTCCTCCTCCTCCTCTTCCTCCTCCTCTTCCTCCTCCTCCTCCTCCTCCGCCTCTCCTCCTCCTCCTCCTCCTCCTCCTCCTCCTCCTCCCCCTCCTCCTCCTCCTCCTCCGCCCATCCCCCCCCTCCCCTCCTCCACCACCTCCTCCTCCTCCTCCTCCTCCTCCTCCTCCTCTCCTCCTCCTCCTCCTCCTCCTCCTCCTCCTCCTCCCCTCCTCCTCCTCCCCCTCCTCCTCCCTCCTCCTCTTCCTCCTCCTCCTCCTCCTCCTCTCCTCCTCCTCCCCTCCTCCCCCTCCTCCTCCTCCTCCTCCTCTCCTCCTCCTCCACCTCCTCCTCCTCCTCCTCCTCTTCCTCCTCCTCCTCCCCCCCCCCCACCCGTTCTGGCAGCACGTGCCCAACCCACACAGCGAATCCAAGGGGGAGGGGGGGCGATGATTGCCCTATCCAGAGTACGTGGCCAAGTCCCAAGACATCTATCTTCGCGACGTCGCACCGCCCCCCCTGGAGAAGGGCAGCCGCTCTGGCCTGGACCGCGACGCGCGAAGCGCGATTACCTTCGTGCCCCTACCGGTGACCAATAATTCTGGAGACGACGACGACGACGTTTACGACGACGACGCCGACGTTTACGACGACGCTTGCGACGCCGACGCCGAACGCTGACAACGTTTACGACGGCGACGCCGACGACGACGACGACGACTCCGACGCCGACGCCGACGCCGCCGACGCCGACGCCGACGACTTCCGCCCGCCTTCCGCCGAACGGGGCCCGGCGCCGCGCTGCTCCGTCCTCCGCCGCCCTCCCCCGCCGGGGGCGAGGCCCCCTCCTGTGCCACTCTGGAGAGCGCCACGTCGTTCCACGCCACGACGGTGAGGGCATTTTCGTTTAATACCCGCGGGCGCAGATTCCTCATACACCGCGCGGGCGGGACCCCCAGGAGCGAGCACCTCAAAACGGGCGATGCTCGTCCTCCTGGGGTCCACGGGCTCCGCGCGCAGCCGCGGCGCGCTCGGCGCGGGCCTCGCGCCCTACGGTGAGGGCATTGGATAAGGAACCAATGGATAAGGAATCCAGGGTCTCGAAGCCAGTGGAACCTCCAATCGTGGACTGACCATGGATACCACCGCCGCCCTCATCAGGCAAGGACCCCTCCAGGGTCTGAAGCCTCCTGGGCGCATCCCTTCACCAACGCCCCCAACGTACTGTTCGGTGGCAACTCATGGGAGCCTTCCGCACCATCTTGTCGGCTCTTGCGAGTCGACGCTAATCGACGCTGCCCGACGCTAAATCGGCGCTATATCGTCGACTCGCAGACGCTAGTCGACGCTAGAGACGCAGATAAGATGGTATACCGGGCTCCCATGAATTGCTACCAAACTACTGGATGGGGGCCAGGATCACGCGGCCAATGACAAGCAATGCAACCCTGGTGATCTGTTGAATTATCGTCGTCCTGATCCGCACTTTATTCGCCACCGCGAATGCGCAACAGTGGAATGTTGGTTCTGGTTGTGTGATACGGTGTCTGGAGTCTTTCAATGGCCGACGCCCCCTCGTCGCGCCCGTATTGCTTCCAGGCGCCTTTTTGCCCTCTAGAGGATTCAAAAACGGCCAAAACCTTCCCATCAAAGGTTGCGAGATGCCCGAAGACCAGCCCTAGAAGGCTCAGCGACCCCCAAAGGCTCCAAGATGTCCCCAACGAATCCCAAAAAGGCCCCAAGAAACCCAAGATGCGCTCCGAGAAGGCCTCCCGCTATACCCTGGGAGGCAAGACACACTTGTTTGGGATTTGCGATCGTTTTGTTTTTAGGGATCTCCAGCTTTAGATCTTTCAGCCAAACTATTCACATACATATATATATATACATATATATATAGAGAGAGAGAGAGAGAGAGAGAGAGAGAGAGAGAGAGGGAGAGCCCCGGGAAGCGCACGCGACGGCAGAATACGGCCACAAGAGGGTCTCAGGACGGTCCCAAGACGGCCAACTAATCTCTCAAGACGGCCAGAGACCCCCCCACGAAAGGCTCAAGAGAGCTCCAAGGCGACCGCCAAGGTCCACTCAGAGCCTCCCGGATGGCTCGACCGAGCCAACCTGGGAGAGATCCGCAGGACCACCGCGCCCACATCGGACGCGAGGCCACGTCGGGCCCCCTCCGGGCCAGTGGGCCCCGAGGATGACCCCCCGAGAAGCCTCCAGGGCGAATGGCGAAGAGGGCAGCGAGGCTGCGGACGGAAAGAGACGAGGTGCTCAAGACCCGCGCCAGCTCGGAACAGGGCACCGTGCTGGAACGGGTTTGACGTTCAACCTCCTCCCTGCAGCGCTTGGGGAGACAAACCATGGCACAAAAACAGAACAACTCAGGGGTCCGCGCGGATGTCTCGGATCCGCGCTGGGGCCCCCCTGGCGGCGCCTCGTGCAAGGGAGGGGGGCCCAGCGCGGATCCAAGAAATCCGCGCGGACCTCCGGGCTTTTATGTTTCATGCAATTTTTCGGCCCCCTAACGCTGAAGCTGCGACGGGGTTTGCCGCAGGCAGCTGGAGAACTACAACCTGCCCCCCATAGCGTGTCGGGAATTCTGGGGCAGTGTGTCGCCGCGGCGGCCCCAGCGACACGCTGTGCTCTGCGAGCGGACTGCGTGTCGCTCCGCTCCGCGGGGCAGGACATGCTCGAGAAACCTTGGGGGCACGGACGCCCGGGGCCCGAGACGTGGACACCGTGCTGGCTGCGCCGAAGCGTGGTGGGCCAGAACCGGCGGAGCGGCACGCTGAGCCAACACTCCCGGACGTGGCCCCTATCCCAGCACGCGGCGGAATAGTCCAGGTGCCATGCGGGTGCGCAAGGGGCAACTGCCTCTGCACAGGTGTGAGCTCTCGCGGAGGAGAAGATGAAGGACGGGCAACGCGCATGGATACGGAAGCAAGAGTAAGATCAAGCGAGAAAGCCAATATAATGGACGTGGTCGTAACTGAACAGATCGGATGGGAACGGCTGTAAGGACCCCAGCGTCCGAGCGAGACTGGCCAGGGCTGAAACATGGTGGGAGAGACTCACCATGATCGAAAACCAAGAAAGGCTCCTACCTTCTCCTACCCCATCCCCGGAAGGATCCCCGAGAGGTAGCAAGGGAAGAGGGAGGGCGGAAGGAGAAGGCGGCGTAGGAGGAGCGGAGGGGGCCAGCGACCATACAGTCGAAGCGCAGCCAGGACTCCCAACCGAAACCCGATCTAAACGCCCCCTGGATCCCTTCTGGAGTTGGACGCCCGAGAACTCGGGATAACTGATGTCTGGGGTAACTCTGGTTTGGGCACCCCCAGGCGCGAATCTGTAGCTACCCCTGACCGCCTCCAGCCCTGATGATTCGGAAGGTTTGGACGCCCAGAGTATCCGGGATAACTGCTGTCAAGGGAAACTCTGGCTTGGGCCCCCGAGGCGTGAATATGTAGCAATCCCTGACCTAGGGAGCCCACGAAGGACGTACGCGCCCAGCTATGTACATGAACACGGCCCCTCGATCTGCGAGACTGGCCGCATTGTACGACTATTTGCGCAACGCGTACTCTCGAAACCAGCGTGGATTCATGTACGTGTGCGTCCTTCTTTCGCTCCTGATGACCGCCTCCAGCCCTGACGATTCGGGGCTCTGATGGAGCCTGTCCTGACAGGTTTTTCACCCCGAACCGATGTCCAACGGTCCTGGGGCCCGGGACGGCGCTCCCCGCCGAAGCTGCTGCACAAGCCTCCTCGAAGCTCCTTCTCCGACCGGCCGAGCAAAAAAAACAGCAGAGGAGGGACACGACCCGGGTGGGTCTACGGGCCAGGAAGCCTGCTCGGACCTCCTCCGCCTCCTGGCCTGCGTAAACGGACCCAGAACTCCGACGTCATCATGTTCCAAAACTTCGACGCCCGGAAGTCTGAACCTCTTCGACAGGACCAGTTTGTCGTCCCATGCCGTCATGCTTTGATGACCCCGAGGCTTGGCGAGGCCTCCCCGGAGGCCGAAAGAGGCCAAACACCTCCCGCCGCAGGAAATCGGATCCTGGTGTATACGGGATCCTGGTGTACACATTCTTCGTTGTTTCCCTGGGAACACGTGGAACAAAATATGCACCACACCACCCCGATTTCGCCCCCGACCCCCCCAAAAGTCCGGCGATTGAAAAACAACCAGGCCCCTGGTAATCTATATGTTGCAGTTCGATTTCCTCGCGACGAGAATAGGTGGGGGGAGAGGAGATGACAGGGACGGCGCGACGCGGTTTCCTGGACCCCTCCCCTGGCGCCCCGACTCTGGCAGGCGCGGGGACCTCGGCATTCCCGGTCGAAGGCCTCGAGGGCGGGGCCTGACGGGTCCCGCAGCTCGAGCTGCGCCTGGTAGCCGGCCAGCTCCGGCAGGGAGCTCCTGAACTCCCCGCCCAGCCTCTCCTGGGACGCACAGAGGCATACTACTAATACTACATGTCCTCCTTGGAGGCGCGCGTCCGACCCGAACATCTAGTATACCCATGTTGTAATAATGTATCGTTTCGCGAGCGGTGCAGCCAGAAAGCGCCCGCCACGACGCATGTACTACAGATTTCGCGGTGCGCATGTCGCCCTTGAGGGGGGCGACCCACACACATAGTGTCAGTATGTTGGGGTGACGCCGATCTCCTGCAGCACAATCAAGTCTGGTAAGTCTTCGGTTCGGGTTGCGCACAGGCAGCACCCCCCCCAGGTAGTCCCGTCTGGCATCAGCAGGCCCCCCGAAGAGTCGCAGCTGGCCTCAGCAGGTCTCCAGCGTAGCCTGGGGAGCACTGCTCGTAGGGCCTGTTGCGGCCAGCTGGGGCAACTCGGTGGGCTTGTTGAGACCAGCCGGGACTACCTCGAGGGGCTGTCTGTGTGCAACTGGAACCGAAGCCTTCCCAGTCAGACCTATCCATGCCCAGTGGCCCAGGGTACGAGCAAAAATCTGACAGGCGACGCCTGGGCATCTCCGGCCAACGACCGCCTGCATCCGTGCGCATGTGGCCGCAGGTGCAGAAAACGCTGGGAGGCAGAGACGCAACATCACGACAAGGCCGCACGGGGCAGTATCGCCGTTGCCCGCATATCTGCGGTTCAGGGCCTTTCTGCCACCACCGTCACCATCGGCGGTGGACAGACCTCGCTTTAGTAAACCACCCTTTAGTAAAAACAACCTTGGACCGAAACCGACGGACCTGGACCCGTACAAATGACGGCTGCGACGCCCTCTCGCGAACTGAAAACGGCCAATTAGCTAATCGACATGTCAGGGCAGGAGGTCTATCAACCTCCGACACCAGCCTACCCCGTCTGGGTGGGGATGGATGCCAAGGGTCCAGACGGAGACGGCATCGATCCATCCCTCCAAGGCTTCGCCGGTGGGAGCAGGGGCAAGAGTCACAGGAGGCTCTCCCCTCAGAGGCCCCACGCACGGCACGAGCATAGACCGTCGGAGGTCAGCCCGGATCTCTCGGATCGGTGCTGCAGCTTTCGCCCCGCTCCCCCTTTCTCGCCGCTCGCCGACCGGGGGCGGCGCCAGAGGCGCCGCCTGGAGGTGGAGGGGAGAATGGTCTGGCTCCGATTCGAGAGGTCCGCGCTGTCCTCTACAACTGCCCTGAGAGCCGATGTCGTCATTTTTTCAATGCGGGGTCACTGGAAGTCTCGATCCATTCCCCAGGACCGGATTTTCAATCTGAATCGTTTTTGACGGTCCCGAGATCTGGCAAAGGCCCCTGGAGGCCGAAAAGTCCAAAACACCTCCGTCATGTTTTATTTCAGCACGTTGGATCTCTGGGTGTACGTCCGTGTTGTGCTTTTTCCCAAGCAGTGCTTGCTCTCAGGGGCTCTCTCGCTTGCATTTCTGTGGAGCTGCATGGGTGCTCCGAGGACTCGCGATGTGTTCCGGCTAGGCGCCGCCCCGTTGTCGCCCGCTGCTGCCTGCTGATCAAGGCTAAAGTAGGTTGGAGCATCATAAATGGAGGGGAGGAAGGTCTGGCTCCAATCCCGAGAGGTCCGCGCTGACCCATACAACTGTGCGTTCATGTTGGATACCTCCCAAGCGGTGCCTGCACTCAGGGGCTCTTTCGCTTGCATTTCTGTGGAATTGCATGGGTGCTCCGAGGACTCGCGATGTGTGTTCCGGCTAAGGCGCCGCCCCGCTGTCTCGGGCGTTGGCAGAACTGGGTTTAGTGGGACCTGGTTTAGTGATGTGTACTGGGGGACGCCCCCCCCGCCCGTTCCACTAACCGGAACTGCCGTCACCCGAAAAAACACCAGCTACGGCAGACCTGGTTTAGTGATTCTTGCCAGTTTAAGGGCTCCAGGGCCCTACCGCTAACCGGGACCCCTTACCTGGGGTCCTGGCTATACCCGATCGTCGCCCGCTGCTGCCCGCTGGGGGGACCCGAGCACTCGCCACGCGCCCCGGCACGCGGGCGCCCCGCCGCCGCCCAGGTGCCGCCCGTGGGGGCACGCCGAAGGCCCGCTCGCCACGCTGCCGCTCGTGGCCGCCCGTTGCCGCTGCACCGAATGGCTTGCGCTCCGAGCGTGCCAGAACCACAGGGCAGTTTATAGGGCTTCTAAACATATAGGGTCTTTAATGAATGATTGATGATCTATACATTCATGCATGAGCTCATCGTTGTTTTTCATACTTAACCCCTGCATGTTTAATAATGCATGATCTGCACGCGGAGCATGTACTAAAAACGGCACTGTACGGGAACGAGCAATGGCATAAACGCAACAACTCTGCGGTCCGCGCCGATTTCTCGGATCCGCGCTGGACCCCCCTCCCTGGCGCGCGGAGCGCGCCAGGCGCCAGGGGCAGCTCTGGAGGCGCCGCCAGGGGGGTCCAGCGCGGATCCGAGAGATCCGCGGTGCCATACAGTCAACCCGCAGAGTAAGGATGCGCGATAAGGATGCAAGGGCCTTGGACGCCCATGTCGAAGCGTTTCGAACGGGGCGCGGCCAACGAGTGTCCAAGGATGGACCCAGGAGGCAAGGATGCACGGGTACCCTTGGGAGGGATGCCTATCCTTACTCTGCGGGTCGACTGTAAGTCACTGTTTGGGGTGCACGCTGGCAACCGTTTTGCGATGCGAGTCTCTCCACGAGGGGCGACAGGAACCCGTGGAAGAGGACGTAGCGGTGCATCGACGGAAGGTCCACCTGCTGGGTGGACGTGACCTCTGAGAAGGCTCTCTCCAGCAATCCCCTCGCCTGGCGCCCGTCGACCTTGGGAAGCGGGCATGGTGGCCACAAGTGAAGAGAGGAAGAGGGCTATCAACCCGCACTGGGCCGCCGCCGCGATGGTCTGACCTGCTAGTTCTGAATGAACCACTCGTGGACGTTTTCTTATGCGGCGTTTCGACCTTGGACGGAAGGGGGGGAGGGAGGGGGGGTCTGGCTCCGGACCATTGCTTAGTGCGACTGTTTGCAACAGTGCTTCCGATGGGGGAGAGACTCCACCTGCTCGAGACAGGCGCCCGAAAAAAGCCAAGATCTACTCCCATGGGAGGGGGGTGCGAGGGCCCGCGCCGATCGGCAAAACAACAAATGAGATAACGGTCACCTCCCTCGTGGCAGTCAAATTGGCAGCGCGCACAAGGGGGTGGAGGGAGGGGGGAAAGCTTCTTAGAAGGAGGCTGCTTCTTAGAAGGCGCCGGCCTTTATAGCTCAGGCCCGCGCCTTCTAAGAAACAGGGGTGCTCCTAAGAAGCCCCTTCCCCCTCCCCCCACCCCCCTCTGCGCGTGGCCGATACCTCTTCGCGCACCGCGCCCCGCGGTGCGCGGCTAGATCTTCGCGACCCCGAGCCGCCTCCCTGGAGAAAGGCGCCTAGCTGGCCCGACCCAGATGCCCGATGTCTTGAGTCTACCATTGAGTCGTGCGTGTCCCTCTACAGGAGAAATCTTCAAAAATAATGAATAAAGACACGGGGAGTTTTTGTTCGACGATTTTTTTTTTTTCATTTTGAATTTTTTCGTGTGGCTGATCAAAACTGTCTCGGCGCCGTGCATCGGGACCCCGGCACGCCCCCCTGCCACGCCCAGGAGCTCCCTCTGCCTCCGCGCGACGAGCTGGCACGGGCCAACCAACCGAGCCACCGGCCCCCTCGACGCGCCTGCCCGACCGTCCGCGACTCTCCCGGCCCTCGATCGGGGAGGAATCGGCGGCGGAGGCGGAGGAGGGGGAGGAGGAGGAGGAGGAGGAGGAGGAGGAGGAGGAGGAGGAGAAGGAGGAGGAGGAGGAGGAGGAGGAGGAGGAGGAGGAGGGGGAGGAGGAGAAGGAGGAGGAGGAGGAGAAGGAGAAGGAGGAGGAGGAGGAGGAGGAGGAGGGCGGAGGGAGGAGGAGGAGGAGGAGGAGGAGGAGAAGGAGGAGGAGGAGAGTGGAGGAAGGAGGGCGGAGGGCGGAGGGAGGGAGGGGGAAGAGGGGGTGGGGAAGGGACAGTGGAGGGAGGTCTGCTGGCCACCAGATCGGTGTGAGGGAAGCGGGTTCTGGCGGAAGCGTCGAAAGTTTATGTTCATAGCGTTGTTCCTTCTTCGACATGAGCTGTAGAAGGCTGTTCGGGGCCGCATGCTGCAAGTCATGCTGCACAATCGAAATTCGGATCGCGAAAGCATCGTGTAAGACATCTGGGCCAACTTCCTGGAAATGTCACATAAACCGCACCTGGGTAACATTTCTGCTGTTGACACTGGAGGGACAAACGTATACAGACGTGCTCAAAAGACTGGGCCAGCCTTCCGGCAAGTTGGTCAAGAAAAGCGCTGGTCCAGCGTTTCGAGAGGAGGCTCCTTAACCAAATGCTCGACTGTACTGCGAGCCAGTTAGGAGGAACAGGAGGAGGAGGAGGAGGAGGAGGAGGAGGAGGAGAAAGGAGGCGGAGAGGCACCTCCAGACCCCCCTGTCCCTCAAGGACCCCCTCCCTGGCCGAGCGGAGGGGGAGGGGGCTCTGCTGGCCGCCAGGCGGGGGTGGAGGGCAGGGGGGAGAAGGGGGAAGAGGGCAGGAGGGGAGGGGAGGGTAGTGGGGAGGGGGGGGGGGGGAAGAGGGGAGGATACGAGAGGGGAGGGGTATGGAGGGGAGCGAGGCTGCAGGACAGGTGCGCTCACGCCTCATCCGATATCCTTCCGATGTGCCGGATGCTCTGCTGCCCACCCGCTGAAGACCTGCTACTCTTGCCCAGCTTGTGCTCGGCCTCGCTGGCCCTGCGGAGCAGCGTGCGGAGGCGCTGCGCCACCGGTTGGCAATCGAGCAAGCACTGCTCAAAATAATAACACTCAGCCGTGGTCCCAGCTCAGCTCCAGTCCCAAGCGCAGCCTTCCAGAGCTCGGATGGCCGCCAGTTCCCTGTCGCACTTCGCCGAGCGATCCTTGTCGGGTAATGCCCTGCACTTAGATCTGACCTTGCCAAGACATGTAACGTCGCGACCACCAGAACCCTACACTTCGTCTTTCTGCGCCACTATTCGAGCCAGATCGCTCTGTGATGGGAAACGCCCGGCGTGCAGCATCGTAACGCCAAGATCTCAATGTCGACATCCAGGGAGGCGCACGGGCCTGGGGCCGTTGCTGCAGTCGGGCGCGCCCGAGCTCGGGCTCCAGCTTCTTGGGCTCGGCATGCGAGTGCCCTGCTCCCAGACGGACTGCTTGACCCACGGTGCACGACTCGAGGGCCACAGAAGCTGCTTGATGACCGCCGAAACACGCTGGCTTGGCAACGTGGCGCTTGAATCAGGGTTTCTTCTCCGCAGCGTGTGGGAAGGGCTTGCCCAACTTGTCAGACAAGCGCATCTTGCAAGACAATGTATGGCCCCCCGCTCCTGCTGCTTGGCAGGCACCATTGTGCCAGGGAGGGCCACCAGCAGACCCCAAACGTGGCAAGCAACATGGAGTTCCCCACTTCTTGGCCGCTCGCAGCATGTCCCTTGCAGGTCCAGAGGGTCTCGGATATTCTAACCTTATCTCTTGCCGAACCGACTCCGGGTGGCGAAGGCAGTCGAAATAGCAAAAATTCTCAAACTCGTGCCTGCTGCCGCGCCGCCTCTGCATCTTCCAGCAGGACCACGGTGGCTGCAGGAGTCGGGGCAACACTGCTAGCGGCAGGCGATGCAGAAGATAACGAAAATTGGAAAATCCACCGACTGGCGCTCCACCGGCGACTGGTTGGCCACTTTGGCCTGAAGGTGCAAAGACCTGCGGCCCACAACGAAGTCCACATGATTGTACTCAGTCATCTCCAGGGCTGCTCCTCCCTTGGCCAGGCTATCTGCCATTGGATCCCCCGTCATCTCACAATCTAATTTAATGAATTCGCTCTCTCGCAACATTTTGAAAGGCATGGGCTGCAGCGTGCTTGAAGTGCTGCAAATGAGAATCCTCGTTGGCCGCGATGCGCTCCCAACTGGAGGGTCTAGGATTTGCAGCGCCCGCCGCCTTGTTCGGAGATCTCCACTGCGAAGGCGTTCCCTTGCAATCTGACATCTCCGCGTACGCTCCAAGGACCAACGGGGAAACCATCGGCGTCGCATAGTCTGTTCCGCACTTTGCAACTTGCGGGGGGCACGCTGCGAGTGCGGCACAGCTCCATGATATCTGCCCTTCGGCCGCCTTTCACGGTCGCGCACCACCTCGGACCACCCGACGCTCCTCATATATTGGATGTTCGCCGCCTCCTCCTCCTCCTTCTCCTCCCTCCTCCTCCTCCTCCCTCCTGCTCCTCGCCTCCTCCTCCTCCTCCTCCTCCCTCCTCCTCCTCCTCCCTCCTCCTCCTCCTCCTCCTCCTCCTCCTCCTCCTCCCCTCCTCCTCGTCCACCTCCTCCTCCTCCTCCTCCTCCTCCTCCTCCTCCTCCTCCTCCTCCTGCTCCTGCTCTCTCCTCCTCCTCCTCCTCCTCCTCCTCCTCCTCCTCCTCCTCCTCCTCCTCCTCCTCCCCCTCCCTCCCCCTCTTCCTTCTGTTCCTCCTCCTCCTCCTCCTCCTCCTCCTCCTGCCCCCCCTCCTCCTGCCGCCCGTGCAAACATCAATGCGAACAGCTCCTGTCTTGTCCACGTCGCGAGAGTGGCGAAAAAAGGGCCCCTGCTGGGCGGGCGCAGGCCTGAGCGGGATCGGGGAGGCAGGCCGCGGCTGAGCACCTGCTTCTGGGCCTCGGGGGCGCCCCTTCGTGCGTTTGGCGCTATGTTGCTCCCGTCGCACGTCGGGGCCACATCCCAAAAATACTTTCGAGCACCCAGAACAGTATCGAAACAATGTCGAACGAGTATCGCCTCCTAGGCCCCGACGCGCGAAAATCCTCACGTTTCGGCACATTCCTGGTGCTCGAAATTCTTTCTGGTGGCCAAGGCTAAAGAAGGTTGGAACACCACAAGCTTGGCGGAACTCTTGTCTCCGATGGGGGGGCAATGTTGTCGGATTGCGTAGATCGCGTCGCACTCCGCGAGGCGGTGGTGAGGCGCGCCTGGTACATCTTGACACCCCTATGAACATATCAGCCAGCGTTGGCTCCAAATAGATAGGAGGACGAAAGGATAATGGAAGGAGGACGAAAAGGAGGACGGGAGCAGGACGGGAGGAACACGGGTGGAACAACATCAAGCACACGCAAGCAAGCAAGCGGAAGCAAGCAAGCGCACGCGAGCAATAACAAGTAAGCAAGAGCCAGCGATCAAGCGCAAGCAAGCAAGGGCAAGCAAAAGCAATCAAGCGAGAGCAAACACGCAAATTCAAGCAAGCAAATGCCATTGGAAAAAGGGGGAGGGGTGCCATTGGAAAAAGGGGGGTGCCATTTGAAAAAGGGAGGGCGTCCTAAATACCAATTACTTATGCTGAACTAGGAATCCTTCCTGTAGGGCAAGCCTATTTGGATAATTTCTGGCCCCCGTAAGAACGCCGTGCGCGCCCGAAGTTGGCACCGCTGGGCTCCCGGACAAAATCCCCTGACCGACCTCCTGCTCCTAGGAGGCAGCGTGCTTGGAGTACGGGGCCGCGTTCGGGACCGTCCAACATATGGGCCTTTGTTGAAATCGAGGATCACCTGCTGACTCCCTGTCGATGGATCCCCACGTCCCCAACTTGACCAGAAAGGTGGCGACGTTCCCCTGAAAGCCCAGACCTGCTCGTCATCGTCCCTGACCGCGCATGTGGCTGGCGGCGACCACCCTGTCCTGTGGGGGAGCCTAACGTTTTGGGTGGAAAAGCAGCGGCCTCGAGCCCTTCGGCAGTCGCTCGATTACCGTTCCCACG